GAATGAGCGCGACTCGGGTGAAGGCGGTTGTTCTCCATCGAGAATGTCGTTGTGCCAGCTGACCACACCTGCTCTTCCATCACACTGACGGCGTTTTGCTCGTTGATGCCCAGAAATCATTGCGGGCCCTCCTTTTACGAAAGGTGCGCTCATACCATACAGGGAAAAGAAAAGATCCATCAGCAAAAGCCTCACCCGTGGCTCCTTAAAATTCAGCTTACAAAAGAGAAATTATAAAGGACAGCTAAATTGATCACCAGAGAAGTTCTGCTCATGAGCATCCATAACTCTTCAGCAATTTGAGCCGTATTACACGGATTTGTCGGACCGGTATCAGTACTGGAAAAATATTACTCAAAAAAATCCTCAGTTTTCGAGGGAAGATAAGGAGCTCTACATCACTGAAGAATTAAAATAGAATCTGACCATTCATAAGTGCTGAATGGTGGCAAGAGCGCAAGTTCCGTGGCGATGTGAAGTCGGATCGCTGGATCAGAGTCTTGGGCCAGCATGTTCAGCAATCGCATCAGATCGTTTGTCGACTGTTTCTTTCGGGAGAGGGACAGTCTCTGCACAATAATATGCAGGGCGACTTTCCGCATCTAAATCCGAAAAGAACTGAGCTTGATGAACCTGTGATCTAAAAATGCTGTGTACTTGATACAAAGTGATTGACTGTAGCGTGGACATGTGTCATGAAATTATAATGCGTCTCAAAACAACAGTGAGATAATGACGTCAAAATCTGACATGGGACGGACCCATATGTGATAGGCAATGACGACTGAAAATTTCCCTCAGAACAGTTGCCCGTTGATGAGCGAATGCACCTGTTTTCTGTGAAGGGGCCTAATGCATGCGGATGGATACTGATTGTAAGAGCCATTTTCGAATAGTGCTCACAATTGTTAACAGTTTAGCAACTCCTTACTCGAGCACTGATTCAGTTAGGCACAAGCCTTTTTAGTCACGTTTTTGAGAAAAGCAAAAGGCTAATATAGTAAGGAATCGATACAATGTTTTTTGCCTCGAGACCGTACCACCAACAACTGAGCTCTAACTCAATATCTCGCCTTCTCTCTGAACTTATTAGAGTGCTTAATGTGACTGTATGGAAGAAGCATTAGTTAAACCCAACCCATCGCTACATTGCGTACAGTAATCGCATGCTGCACATGGTGCAGTACTCAGAATTGCCTTTGTGAGGTTTTTAAAAGAGCATGTCACAATAAAGTGGACGTGGAAAAGGGGAAGGTAAGCCTACAACAAAGGGGTATTCGACAGAAGGCCAGTCGCCGAGACGGCAGAGACGCAAAAGTCAGCGGACGAGTCGCAGCACGTGCTGTGAGATGTGGAACGTGCAACAAAACATCTATTTAAAGGAACAACCCCTGATGGAATTGGTAGGGTAAAAGCGGTCCATAATGAGATTGCGGATGCCGAGTTGACTGAAAATGAAAAAAAAGAATAGCTGCAGAAGCCCTCAAACATGGACACCCTCTTCCCCTTGAAATAAAAAGGGGTGCGGCCAGACGAGCTATCCGAGCTAGCTTACTCCGCCGGCATTTATGCTCCATGCCAGCAGGAAAAGTGCTGCGATCACATATGCACCAAATCAAGCGAAGAAGGTGCATCAATACAAATAAATAAATACGAGAAATGAAGTATCTAAGCAATTGAAACCAATCAAAAAACCGGTTGCATTCCTTCCAACGCGGCCACAGTTTCCACGCAATCACGCAAGGTCCATACAGCCAACCACTCGATCTCCACGGGCAGCAAATGCGTGTGTACAAAAAGGCGTACGGCACAACTATCCAGCTCCTCTTAGTGGCTTTCCAAAGTGTGCTTTTGCTTCAGCGACATCCTATGTTCTCTACTAAGAATGAATCCATTGGGATGTGGATTAAGTTGACTCATTTCGCATCAAATTAAATAGCATGCACCGTATTACGTCCCACATCACACAGCGCGCCGAATCGTCGCTGTCCGTCTGTGCTCCGCGTTGTCGTCGCGGGGCGACCTTCCCGTCTGCTACCCCATTGTAATAGGCATACTCATATTGAATTTATCGTAACCTGCGAAATTCAGTAGCCCTGCGAAAACGTCTCAAACGACGACTGAAACCACGATTCAGCTGACTTCCAACACTATTTCATTTAATTTTACCCCAAGCCGGTCGCTAGGGACTCAGTTATTCCACAGGACTTCTCCAGAATCAGCATAGCATAGCAAATCCGATTCGCAAATTATGACATCGGCCTGAGCGACATCTATCATGACCGAAATCGTCTGACTACAGTGTGTAGGATTATACGAAGGGATTTACGCGGTAATACGAGACAAAAAAGCCTTCAGCTGCATCGTTTTTTTTTTGCCAAAAATGGATTATGAGTTGTGCTGCAAAGAGAGATCAAGATCCACTCTTGAAAAGGAACTCGAATGACGTTCCCGAACTGCACGCCAGCTGACATTCACAGATTGGAGTTCAACTTAGGTGGTGTGACTTATTGGCTCAAAAGTGGTGAAAACCACATTTTGACAGAAATATCCTTCATCCTTACAATATTTTCATGGAATGAAGTGCATAAAAATAGCGGCTCGAATTAATCCCATGGACCACAGTACATGAGACTAGAATTCTCCCACCCTCGGAACCGCACGAAAACTCTTTATTAGAAGGAAAAAAGAAAAATCATTGATCAACTAACGCTGACGCAGAGTTTCGGTGCAGCAAAAATCCAGAATATTTTTGAGTCAGATGGTATGTGACCATTCCTTTGAAGCTGAAACAATCGAAAATAGAGAAAGCAGTAGTTGCATAGAATTCAAGAGCAAGTGAAACATACATGATGGATCACGTTTAACGCTGCCACGCCCACAACATGACGAAAAGAAGGCTTTATCGTGTCCAAGTTTAGTGCGTGGGTTGTTTCCTGGAATAAACTTCGAAAATTAATCTACTATAGTTGAGCATAAAACTAGGAAGGTCTCAGTCTCACCTCTACCACTTCATTCATTTCCCAACTCAGAGCATCTGGTATATAATTACCGCCACCTAAAGTATTCACAGGGGCTACGCAGGCAGCTAACGCGTTTAGAAGCGATGCACGGTAATGATCATCAGAATATCTGGGAAAAATCGCTTCATTAATTACTCACTCCTGTTTCCGTTATGTCAGGTTATTATTCTTACCTGTTTATCGAATTGTCATTGTAACGAATATAGTCAACAATGAAACATTGCACTTCTTGTAATGCCATCCCGTTCGTGCGCATTCGAGCCAGCGCTTGCGGAAGAGCCTGAAGTAAAAAAAAACTCGTGGAAAACGTCATTCTGTACGAATTAATCGAAATAACTGTATACTAGTCCGCCTACCTGCTGGAGAAAATACTGCTGAAGATTTTGAGAGGTAACAACAAAATTGTTAGACCTCGGGATGGTTGGGCAAGATTTAGCGCCATAAGTTTTTCTATAAACATTCCGTTAAGTGAGCTTCCACATTGATTTGCAGTAAGCCATACCTATATAAGCTCAAAAGAGCTGGCACTCCTGACCACGTCTCAGGCATCTTGTTCAACACTTCAGTGAGAGCATACGCGGCATGACATCTCACACTAAAACGTTGAGCACTCATTGGGAATAAGTTGGAGTCCATGGAACGGTCGAATGCATAATATATGCACAAAATTAGTGGTCGCTTCAAGAAGCATTTGGTTGTATACTTATAATCCTTCATAAGAAGACTAACCGGTAGAAGAAATTCTCATTGGAAATTGTTTCCAACAAAACATCACGACTTTGCGGATTCGGACAAAGTTGTAGCCGTTCTAGAGCCTAAAGGGGGAAGTTTCCGCTTCAGCGACATTTCCGACATTCGGAAAGCATTCTCGGGTAAAAATAAGAGTGAAAAAGCTAAGACAAACCTGAAGCTGAGCAAGCACATCACGTTCGTACCGTAGCATATACTCCCACTGATAGTCCGGTTGGTTAATCATAAGGTTGCGAATGAGATGAAGCTCTGGATCAAGTCTTAAATTCACTACATTAGGAACACAAAAATATCACCAATTACTGAGCCTACCGTATCCATAAAACAGGAGAATCCGGATCCATATTACTTAAATCCACCTCAACGTCATCACCAGAGTATAGTGGCACACGTTTCTGAAATGCGAAGTGTGAAGCGAATATAGACGAAACGATTTTGACTTCAAGACGAGGTACAGTCGAAATCTCGAAGTCAGATTAGGCGTGGCTATGGATTTGACGTGGCCTTTGCCGCACTTGATAAAAGCCGTGAGGATAGGCTGTTTCTAACGTACTCCATTGGATATCAGCAGAGCATGCTTATCCGCGCAACTTCCATCAAATGCGGCGGCCGCCACGTCAAACTCCATAGACACGCCTAATCTGACTTCGAGATATCGAGTATATACGCTTGTTTCTCCAGAAAACACGACTTGAGGGTATTTTCGTAACATATGTCCTTCTACGATGGAGTTGTCCGCAATAGAGTTTATAATAAGACTCATTGCGCACCACGTGAACCACGTGATGAGAACAAAATTTTTTGCCGTAACGTCGTGCGCCTCACACGGGGCAGCACGGTGATTCGGAGTGCGAACTTTTGTTTGCTGGAAAGTAGTTCTTATCAAAAGCTGAACACATGTTTTCGAATATGGTGAACATCATATCCGTGTTGGATACCGGCATATGGAAAATAGAACATGTTCGAACACCAAACTTTTGAGCAGAAATATGCGAACACATCAATCTGCACTCCACTATTCATTCCATATACATATCTCTAGCGGGTTAGATTTCACGCGTCACACTGGAGGTGCGAGTCGTGATCGTGATTGCCGATTTCAATTTCGGTCTCGTCCGTGCACCCCCTGCCCAGACTGAAAATTTTAGCTCCCCTCTCGCTAAAACTTATCCACGCTTTCTTAACTCCGGGCTGCCATAGATTGTTTTTATAGAACATGCCAAGTTAGCTTTTCATACAACAGATAGACAATATAATCACTGACCTTTTTCTGCCGACGACCTTTAGAGTGGCACTGAAGATCAGCTCTTGAAACATCTCCGTCTATTTGAACAGTGTGTGAAAACGAACCGTCCAACTCTTGCACCAACACAGTTAGCGGACCGACGTATCTGCAGTGAACGAAGAAGTTTTCTTTTTTCTGGATGGCAGCTCTACGCAATAATTCGAATGTGAAAGATGAAGCAAAACCTCAATCGACCATTTCCAGGCTCGACTTTTTGCTTCACTTCTAGTTCGATCATATTACGCTTCCGGTTGAATACATATTGCACCTAATATGAAAGATTGCTTAGGTTGTTGTTGACTTCAAGTTGTTGTTAAGCCTTTACGAAAAATGTCGACACACGTACTCGGAAGGAAGCATGTCCTCCATTATAAATCCACTGCTCCATAAAAGTTGGGATCTCCTGTCCAGTAACATTTGTGACAGTCCTGAAGAAAGTCTCAGTGGAGATTACAAGATGAGTCCAGGTGGCTGGTCTGTCGCGTCGTTCGGCCATTTGTTGTCCAACAGAAAGAATTTTGTGCAATACCTGAGCATATGTGGTGTAAAAACTCACTATCGCCTAATTATTTTGGAAAAATCTTTCTCTGAAAAATATGATTCTACGAAAAGGCCGACACGTGAATAGCATCTTTAGCGAATACGGTTTTCTCATGGTTTGACCCCACATCGCCCTAATTGCTCAAGAATCAGAGACCCGGCTGCAGATGTCGTACTCCCATCACGACCTCAAAGGTATTCTACTGTGTGCACATTCCTCAGAGATTAATCTGGTTCCAAATTCCACGTAAAAGACGAAGCTACTCGAAAACACTAGCTAGCACCCACAAACTACGTATTGCTTCGCCTAAACAAGAGATAAAATTATTCTCAACACTTCTCTATCAATTTCTCAAGATTCTGCGACTAACACAAGTGAAGCAAAAAAGAGCATAGTACCTGAAAATAAGGTTCATGTCCTAATCTTTTGCTAAGCATCCGCATAGCCAAATGACCTTTCTTGGATTGATTCTCCACGTAGAGTGGGGAACAGGTGTGCTCACATCGCGGCTCACAGTGCAAGTTGAGGCGCGCTGAGCCCTCACTTGAAGGACGTAAAATAATCTGAAACCATTTAATAGAGTAATAAGCCGCGATCCAGAGTCCAAGAAGTTGCAACAATCCGGTTAGATTTTTGGACTCCGGAAATTGGACCATTTCAATAATTGAAGTTGATAATTGTACTAAAGAGTACCCAATTTCATGTGGTAAAATGAGCCTAGCATGTGTCGACAAAGAAATGAACATGTGATTGAGAGTGAAGAGCAGAAGGACAAAATGCGCAAATTTCAAGTGTTGAGCGGTCAGAATCGGGTGCTAGCTTAGTTGGGGGGAGGAACTACGCAGCGGCGCGCTGTTCGTCTGCTCCTCCAAGGCTTAGTCCGCCGATGGCGCGTATTTCGAAACTGCCACGAAATAGTAACTGCCCCTTGGACTAAGCCTTAGAGGAGCAGACGAACAGAGCGCCGCGCCGCCGCGTGGTCCCCCCCGCCCCCAACTAAGTTGGCACCCAGAATCGGGATCATGGGGATGAGACCGATCCTTCACGATAGTATGTTGAGCAGGCTGGAGAGGGCATGTGAACGGCTGGTGTCCAAAAAAGCAAATGAACAATGAAATAAGTGTAAGTGTTGCCTGGACATAAAACCAGGAGGAGATTGTATACGTATGATTATGTGTTATGCATTGACAGGGCACTACCAAACAAGCTAAAAAAGGAAAATGTCAGCCAAATGAAGGTAACTGACAAGCCTTGGCATGACTTGGAAGCAATCATGCTCCTCGCAACTACATTCCTAATGATGTGAAGAAAATGTCCTTAAATACAGGCCTCAAAGGAGGACTCTACCATAAAATAGAAGGTCGGAAAAGAGGAAACTTTACTGGCGGAAAGAATGACAGACCATAAAAGAGGGACCCACACGCAATTTACAGCAAAAGACATTCCTGGCAATTTAGCATGGTTGTTCCCGCGCCACTAGCGCCGCGGCACGCCCAAGAACTGGTTAGACACTCGCCTAGGTTTCTACTTTTAGCAGAGAGTTCTAAGTTTCCTAAGGTTTTGGGCCACTCTTCTTGTTTTTCTTCATCTCGGCACGCTGTCCACTTCTATCTTATTTCTAACCTTATCACATAAGATTCGTTCTATATAAAAGGACAACGGATGTACTGCTACCCGCAACTTACTGTTTGACCTTTATTCATACCTGTAGCATTCAAAAACTTGGGCATTTGCAGACATTAACTTCCCTAGAAGGCCTTCCAAAGAGACAACAACAGACAAGAACGGAAAGACCAACCTTCCCCCACTGCGACTCATAATCACACACAGCATTCAGGAGCTTCTTCACTTGGAATAGATATTCACTTGTGCCGAAAATTTTTTCAATGTAGAGAGACGTAATGAACCTGAAAATTTCAGGGTTCGACTTTTAGATTACCTATTATTGCGCTTCTGCATAAAATCAAACAGAAAATTTATTCACTTAGCACGTCTGTCGAAAAACTGTAAGGAATTCAGCGGCAAGCTGCCAGAGACACTACTTATTGTACGCTTTCACAGCGCGAAAAACTTGCCTAGATAAAGATCGCACAAGCCAGGAATCCAAGAAATGAGCAGGAGAGATGAAGCAACCAAAAAATTGTTTCGAGACTCCCAACGCAAGTAATTGCCTGCATTCCTTGAAATACGGTTATGCGATGCTTCATAAATATAGAAATTAAAAAATTGTGTACCTGTACTACATCGATTATCTTCTTGTGATGCAGAATACTAATTGAAAAAAGAGTCATACTACTATAAGAAGTCACATCGTCGGGGATCTATAAAGTTAGTAGATAGTACAGACGGATTCTATCATAATGAAAATAAGAAACTTACCATATCTACAAATACTTGCTTGTAGGTGGGATAAGGGAATCGACAGGAGAGCAATTCCTCAAAATATTCCAGTATTTTATCCAGCGGCGCAACAGTATGCTTCAGCAGAGACAACAAACCCACTGGAGCGAAGTTGGTCACCTCAAGATAAATCACTAAGCATAATGTTATGTATCGTTGCCACCTACAAAATATAAAATTCATCGTTTGATTTTCGTCTCTACTGAGAATAAAGGACTACGTCTGTAGGCATGCATGCACGCTTGCCACAAGAAGACATCGCCTGGAGAATTACCTGGACAGGCCGGACAGGAAATTCGAAACTTGCAAGGAAAGGATGGTAGGTCGAAGTAGCCGTTCAAAATGAAATGTACAGGGGTGGCCAAAAAAAGAGACACTTCACTCCACATTTCAGACAGCATTAATCACACTTTGCTAAAATCAAATCGACTGCCCCAACTCAGTATTGAAGAGCACATTCTAATCTATCTAAATTACATGACAGCCTTCTACACCGACGACATCAGAAGATTTTCCCACGGAAACATGGTTCACGGTACGAGCTCAACGAGGTCGTCGAGGTACCATAGACCATTACGACGTCCCTGAAACGCTGGTCAAAAGCGGTCTTGCACAGTCACAGCTAGTGTCTCTAAAAGCTATTCACCAGTTAATCTTGAAGAAATTATGTAGCAGCTTCAGGCCGGAGCGATTACGGTAAGCCTCGTTGAGCTCGACGGTGACGGCAGATGACGTCATATTCTGAAGACGGCGGGGCAGTGAAGGAGGGCCTGCTTCTGTTTACGGGGGAACACCTAAGGAATATTCCGCCGTAAAACTTTCATTAACATCGGCTCCCTGTGCGACGAAAAGTTCGATGATGTGCGCCATGGGCAAAGTGTCTCTTTTTTTGGCCACCCCTGTATATCCTGATGCGTCTCCAGACGCTGATTTCGAAATCTGCCTTCCAAATCTTGCTA